ACATACATACACACTGCAAGTCTAAGGTACAAATACACAATGCACCACCAATACACATACATACACACTGCAAGTCTAAGGTACAAATACACAGTGCACCACCAATACACATACATACACACTGCAAGTCTAAGGTACAAATACACAATGCACCACCAATACACATACATACACACTGCAAGTCTAAGGTACAAATACACAATGCACCACCAATACACATACATACAATGCAGCCCCTAAATATACAAACACACACAATGCAATCCCAATACACAAACACTCGCACACTGCATCACTTTGATGCACACGCACACACTCTATTCTACCTTATGCCCATATTACCAGGGGTAGCGGGCAGTTATAGCATGGGAGTACCCACCGAGTGCGATCCAATTCCAACACCAAAAGGGGGCCGTAAGGCTAGCCCCTTATGCCACTGGGCAGTGTCGTACTAAGCGGGGGCCGGACGGGGCGGTCCGCCCTGGGTGCCATCAGGTAAGGGGGGTGCCACCAGGGCTGGCCAGGCTTGGGAGTCAGTGAGCTGTGTGGCTGCACTGGTTGCCATAGGAGCAGGGGCGGGGCAGCCGACACAGCTCACACACAGGGGCTGGGAATACAGCAGGAGACCTGCACGGAGATTTGTGGGCGGAGCCAGATCGCAGTGGGGGCGGAGCCAATCCGGATGTGAGGGCGGAGCTAAATGCAGCCTCATACTGCTGCACACAGAGGGGAAGTAGGAAGGAGCCCCTGCTTCCCCAACTACATCACAGCAGGGACTGAATCCACTCCTCCTCCAGCCCAAGCTTACTGTAAGCGAGAGAGTGTGTGCTGTGTGTAACTGTGATTGTGACTGTCTTTGACTGTGTGTGTGATTGTCTGCTTGTGTGTGTGTGTGACTGCCTGTGATTGTCTGCCTGTGATTGTCTGCCTGTGATTGTCTGTGTGACTGTGTGTGTGACTCTCTGACTGATTGTGTGTGTGTGTGTGTGACTGTCTGTGATTGTGTTATGTGTATGTATGTATCACTGCCTGTGATTGTGTGTGTCACTGTTTGTGTGTGTGTGTCACTGTGTGTGTGACTGTCTGCCTGTGATTGTCTGTGTTACTCTGTGTGTGTGTGACTGTCTTCCTGTGATTGTGGGTGTGTGAGTGACTGTCTGTGACTGTGTGTGTGTGTGTGTGTGTGACTGTCTGCCTCTGATTGTGTGTGTGACTATCTGTGACTGTGTTGTGTGTATGTGTGACTGTCTGTGATTGTGTGTGTGACTGTCTGTGTATTTGTGATTGCCTGCGTGTTTGACTGTCTACCTGTAACTGTGTGTGAGTGACTGTGTGTGAGACTGTGTGCATCTGACTGTGCCTGACGGTCTTCGCTCTGCAGTGAGCCAGCAGCCAGGATATGATGTCATCGCTGCCTCGGCGTCATTACAGGGCGTGCGATGGACCTGTGCAGAAAGAGCACAGAGATACCAGCATCAACCACTGACCACCAGGGACTGAGGATCCACTCCAGCCCTTCTAGAGCAAGGTTGGGAGGCTGGGTGGACCTCTTAATTATTAAATGTGTGTATGTATGTAATGTTTGTGTGTGTCTGTGATTGTGTGTCTGTGATTGTATGTGTGTGGGTCCGTGATTGTGTTTGTGTATATCTGTGATTATGTGTGTGATTGTGTGTATCTCTGTGTATGTGTTTAGTAGATAGCTCCCTTATTTCCTGTCCTCAAATATTGCAATCCCACATAAGGATAACAAATAAGGGATTTATCTACTAAACAACTGAAAATAAGAAAAGGGTGTTTTTTTTTATCCTTTATCTGTTTAGTAGATCATTCCCTGAATTGGTGCCCATATGTGAGATTTCCATATTTATAGATACCAAATGAGGGTGCTGTTTAGCAGATAGCACCTTATTTGGTGTCCTTAAATATGGCAATCCCACAAAGGATAGCAAATAGAGGAGTTATCTGATAAACAAAGATTGAAATTAAGAGGTGTCAGCCAGCCCACAACAAGAAATCTGGGTGGCTAATGTGAATTATATGCAAATATGTAGTCAGATGCCAGCATGCAAAACACAGCATGTTGGCATCAGACAGCCAATGGCAGCATATTACCCCATCCCCTAGTGAGAAGTTTTACTGTTCCACCTCCCCCTCCTGTTTTGACTGTGGTATCTTATGTGCCCCCCCATGTATATTGTTCCTAGAGTCACCACGATGTCTGCATGTGTGTCAGTGTGTATCTGTGTGTGACTGTGTTTGTGTGTGTATGTCCGTGTATGTGTATATGTGCAGACATCTAAAAATCTTGCCAACACTACACACAAATACACTCTTGCATTTCAACGTCAACACTACATACAAACCCCACCATTATATATAACCATACCACTGCATTCAAATACCACACAACACACAAATGCATGCTTGCATTCAAACGCCAACACTACAAACACACCGCTACATTCACTCACATATACACCATACAAAAACATGCATACATTCAAAAACACAAACACTGCTTAGTGCTAAATACATTAAAAATTTTTTTAGTTGTTTTTATATTTAAAGTTGAGGGGGGGAGCAAGGGAAGGTGCCAAAAATAGGACCCGCCCCGGGTGCCAAATGCTCTAGGTACGCCCCTGCCACTGGGTGCAGGTTCCCTCCACTTAGTCTGCCTGGAGACAGAGAGTCTGCAGCTGTGCTACCGGGTTTCCTCGAAAATAAGACTGTTTCTTATATTAATTTTTCTCCCCAAAAACAATAGGCTTTATTTTTGAGGGGAGGTCTTATTTCAGGGAAAACGTGTGCTAGAAAGCAGGTCAATGTTCGGGGGAATTCGGAGTGTTCGGATTTTACAAGACCTCTACCACATGGTCTGCAACTCTGCACCCAGCAGAACTAAAGACTGGATAGCAAGGCCACCAGACCACCAGGCAGGGAGACTACTGGACCACCAGGGAATTGCTTATTGTAGAATTTTTATTTTTATTTAAAAAAAGGAATTTCAGTTTGACCTCCTGCGACCCGGTATGTACCCTCTGAATGTGGGGCCCGGACGACCTTAGCAGTCCGGGCCCCCCAGGACCACCGGGCCCATGACAACCGTTGCGGTTGTCATGCCCTGATGGCGGCC